TACGCCACTCTTTCCCTCTTGAACCAACAGAGGAAAGCGGACTAGAGCCACAGCTGTTGTGCCTGGTTGAACTGAATACTCTTGAACAAAGTATCCACCCAGCCGACCCGCTTTGGGTCTCTGTACACGACATCCTAGTCAGAGTCAAATGTTCACGGCAATCGGAGGCCACATGAACTGGCTCTTGAAGTCAAATAAAAGCAGCGGTCGCTCCCTCTCCCACCGACATACACGCTTTCCTAAGACTGACTCCGCCCTGCATCCACACGGCGTTGTTGCACTTCGTCGTCCGCTTGTCTAGATTCAGGCAATATTTGGCCGACTCCCTTGCTTTTGAGTACGTGTATCCATTAGTAAGGTTTGCATCTCGTTTATTCTTTACTGTTTGGTTAATAGTACCACACTACATTTATTATTGTTACCGTCGAGGTTTGACGTACGCGTTACTACTAGATAAGGAGTCAGGAGAGGCAAGAAACTCGGAACAACGTCACCTGACTTTGCGGGAATGTAAAGTACTGAAGAGAAAACAGCTACAAGAATACAGGGATCGACTTACACCAGTAAGGAAAGGATTCTGTCCACCAAACACTTGGTAGGCGATCGTCGCCGCCGACCAGAGGTCCGCCCGTGAATACTTTTCGGGGTTAAGGCCATCGGTATGGTTGGCAAAGTGCTTGGCTACTTCGGGTGGCCAAAGAGCAGTGTTACCACTATGCGATATTAGGTCTGTCAATGAGAGAGCGTTTTCCTGCCTCCTACCAGTCTCGGTAGCACAGCCAAAGTCCGTGAGTGCGGCCTGCAGGCGACAGTTTGCTACTTCCAATTCATCGCCTACAGAGTAGGTAGTAATGAGAAGCAGTGAAATTGAAGTAAAAAGTAGACGGTATGGGATGAAGCAGTAAGTACAAGTAAAATGAAGCAGAGGAATGAGCAGGGAAGGAGCCAGATAAGCGGAAATACAGAGCAGCAATCGCTTCAGTTAACTCCTCGTGTCGCGCTTTCTCCCTTTTTCCATTGCTACCGTCAGCGACTTTATAGTGATCAGCCTCAGGTACCCGCTCGGAGTTACTGGCATTCCGAGTTCGGAGAAGTCGTAAGTCTTCGAGTCTTGTAATTCTAAATACTAACCATAAAAATTAACCCCTGATTACTAATCCTAACTGCTAGGCCTAACATTTAACCCTAGCCTAGCCTTAACCGTAACTCCTAATCCAAATCCCAATATCCACAACTTAGCAATAAACATAATCACAAACACTTACCATAAAGTCTAACACTAGCCCTTACCCCCAAAAGCCGTAATCGCGACCGTCCATTTTCGGTCAGCGAAGTAAACGGACACTGTTAAACGACCTCTAACTCTAATCGTATTCCGTCAACGCATGAAGCAAATAGACAGAGCAAA